GCCTACCTCGGTTGTTACTGGTGGTTATTTGAGTCACTGTTGCCTTTCTATCAGCTCGAACCAGTCTGCTGAGTTGCCGCCATGTGATTGGCTGATTAGAAATTAAGTGTTAACGAGCAGTTGGACAGGTGTACCTAATAAAGTGGCTGGTGAGTGTATATATAGTGTATAACTTTTGTTTTTAATGTGTATAAAATTTTGGTTTTAAATGAAACGGATAAACAATTTAAACTAAACTAAAAATTAAGAGACACCATACCTCCCACAATGCTTTTGCATCATGGTGGGACGCATTGCAGGAAATGCCCACACCCTTCTCCAGCGGCGCGCCTGCTGTCTTTGGTTCTGATCATGAGGTTCTGATCTGAGATTCAGCTGAAGTGTATCTCCAGGTTCCAACCACACATGAAATGCTCAATCCTGCATTTTATTGATGGTTCCGGCCCGGGTAGAAGCAGCGTGTTTGATGTCAGGTGGTTGGAAAAAAAAAGTTGCTTCTTCCAGCTGATCAGCGCAGATCAGTGTCTCCAAGATGGCCACAGAGCAAGTATGCTTGTGTCTCTGAGTGACTCTGCAAACAATTAACTGAAAAAAGTGGATATAACTTTGAACTAAAACTTTGAACTAAACTGATTCAAAGACTTCAGAACTTCGTAAATTGAGTGGAGCAGAAGGCTGGTAAGAAATGTCCGAGCAGAAACAAAAGCAGTCTTCCAAATAAATGGAGGCATATGGACAAAAACAAATGGAGAACAATCAAGAGGAGACAAGAGAGGACAATTCTTAAGACAAAGCTACAGTTATGGCTGAAATACTCAAAGAATTGAGAGAATTTAGATCTGAAACATTTGTTGGTTTTGGATCACTAAAGGTAGAGTTAAATGTGCTTACGTGCAGATTTTTCAAGTATTAAAAAAAGAATGGATGAAGCAGAACAGAGAATTGCTGAGAGTAAAGATTACGAAATGAAAACCTCGAAAGTGCTTTTACATGCCCTTCAAATGCAAAAACAGCTAGAAAAAGATGTGAGGAATTGGAAAGTCAAGCCAGGAGAAACAATATGAGAATTTACTCAGTACCAGAAAACTCAGAAGAAAACAACATGATTGACTTTCTCAATAAACTGATCCATGAAAAATTGGAAGTGACAGAYGAACTTCATGTGGAGAGGGCACATCTGATTGGGCCAAAGCCTGGATTAAAGGACCGACCCAGAACTATCTTAGTCGATTTCAGTCACATGCTATGAAACAAAAGGTGCTGCAGGCTGCGTGGAGAACAAAGACCGTGCAAGTAAATGATCGAAGGATTTAATTTGATGAGGACTTTACTCACTCAGTGTTTAAGGAGCGTGCAAAATACAAAGATGTGCACAAAGTACTTAATGAAAGAAAAATAAAGTCACGGATTTTATTTCCAGCAAGACTGAAAGTTTTTTTGTGAGGATGGGAAAGCGAAAGTGTATAAAGATCCCCAAGCTGCTGCAATCGGATTACGTGAGTTCGGAATCAACATGGATATTCCAGAGAAGGAAATGGATCTGGAGTCAATACTGCRGACTGCAGGATGGGAGTCGGCCCGTACTCAAAGAAGGAGAGCTTCAGGTMGTTCAGTCATGGAGGGAGTCAAGGCCCTTCTTGAAAAACACAAGTAGAAAAAAAAGTGGAAAAGAAGGGAGAAATGAAAGAAGGAAGAAGGAAAAAAGAGACAAATGGAAGAAACAACATTGTTTATTCTCACTAATTTTGTCCTCATAAATAGTTAATGGAAAAACCAATAAATGAACCAATTTTGAAAAGATGTGGTGTTACTGAAATTAAAAAAACATGACTATGAAAACAATATTGATCCAGACAGTAATTTCTTAGATGAAACAAACAATTGTAAATATTATACAGATGAGCAGTTGAATTGTTCTGTGGACTTGGATAATATTTCACTTATTCATTTTAACTGTAGAAGTCTTCATGCAAATTTTGACAAAATTAGTGAACATTTGAAAATATTTAGAAGTCACTTTCAAGTAATAGCATTGTCTGAAACTTGCTTAAATGACAAATCTATAGATTTTGATTTGGAAGGGTACAACCTCTTTTATACAAAAAGAGTTAAGAACAAAGGTGKGGGCGTGGCATTGTATGTCAKTAGTTCCTTGAGATGTAAAAAATTAGAATGTATGTCAATAGCGTTGGATGATGTGATGGAATGTGTTTCTGTTGAAATTGAGTTGGAGAAAACAAGTAACATCTTTGTAGCTTGTATATATACAGTATATACACACACACACACACACACACACACACA